ATCGGTGGCCATTGCGCAAGACTGTAAATCCTTGATTTGACAATCTTTCAAACCTACTATGATATTCTAACACTGTAGAAGTCTAACAAATTTTAGTGAGCTATCCATCCACCTTCATGTATGAGTAGATTGTGTCACAATCTTGGGGCCCTTTTTCAGTATTTCAATATATGTGCAACGTAGAACTTGAGCTCCTACCTTGTTGAAATTTACTAAGGCTCTCCGGTAGGCTCTTTTTGAAATCATTAAGTGTTTCTTGTAGCTGGTTCTCAATTCTGATTTCCCATACTTCCATTTATGCTTTCACTGAGTTATCGGTGGCCATTGCGCAAGACTACAAATCTGGGTTCTCAACTCTTGTTTTTGATGTCTGTCAAGGGCATTAGCGCTATCAATGCGAAGTTGCCGAGGAGGTGAATGCCGAGGGTAGTGCTGCAGACGCTGTATTGGAGGAAGAGTTGCTGCCCTGTTTCTATCGCTGCATGGGGTGAGAGTGCTAGGGCTGGAAGCAAACTGCGTCGATGTGGCTTCAGCTGCTGCGACCCAAGGGGCGATCGCCGAGCAACGGGCTTGAAGCTACGGTGATGGTAACTTGCAGTGATGGTGCGGCTAGGGCAGTACCGCCAAGGGCTCACCGCTGTAGTGGCTACGATGGCGCGGATGGAAGGCAGCGTTGCTTTGTCTTTGTCGCACTGCGAAAGGAGGCGTTGGTGATGCCGAGGGATCGCATTTGGTTGAGGAAACGATGGTGGCTGCGGCAGTCGTGGTTGCCTTGGTTTGATCGCCGTGAGTAGGGATGGTTGAGCAACTGCAGTTGCGATACAAGGGAAGGCAGCGATGGTGGCGTGGTTGGGGCAACGTTGGTGGCGCAGTTGGGGCAGCGTCGCCGACAATAGAAGGGGTTGGTCCACTAGCCGAGAAATAGTGGCAGTGGCCCTTCTTGTTCGAGCAGGGTGGAGCAGCAAGGAGGGAAGGCTGCTGGCCGGGGAGCAACGGCGACGGTGGTCGCTAGCCAAAATGCAGCGGTTGAGGTGGGGCTGGCCGAAAGCAAGGGAGGCAGGGGCCCCTTTCGACCAGATGGGCTTCAAAGGGGAGAGGATGTGGTTGTGGCAGGTATAGCGCAACGAGGAGGGGAGGTTGCTGGCTGGGGAGCGGCGACAGCGGTGGAGAAGGAGTCGGCGGTGTCACGGTTGGGAACAAGGGCAACCGGTGAGTTGCCCTATTTTTGTCACTACGTATGTAGAGCAAGGAGGATCGACAGCTGGGAGGCATGCGGCGATTGTCGCACGGTGGCTAGCAACGGTGGTGGCTCTGCAACATAGGAGAGGGGTGGTGTTGAAGTGGCCGAGAAGCAGAGGTGGCGGTAGAGGCAACCGGCGCCTGCGACAGCAGAGGGACCAGCGGTTGCTCTATTTCTATCGCATCACAGAAACAACAACGCCGACCGATCGCATGGCCAAAGCTGCAACCAAGGGAAGGCAGCGATGGTGGTGTGGCTAGGGTAGCGTTGCCGATAGTAGAAGCGGCGATGGGTGATCCACTGGCTGGGAAATGGCGGTCGCATCCCTTCTCGCTCGAGCGAGATGCGGGCAGCAAGGAGGCGAGGTCGCTGGCCGAGGGGGGGGCAGTGGCGGTGGTGGTGGCTGTTGGATGAGCAGTAGCGGCGGCGATGGTGATCCGTCAGCCGGAAAGCAGCGGCAGAGGGTGGGCTGGCCTGAAGTAGGGGTGGCTGCGGCTTCTTCTTCTTCTTCTTCGTCTTCTTCTTCTTCTTCTTCTTCTTCCTCTTCTACTTTTTTTTTTATTTTTTTTATTTTTTATTTTTTTTTCAAAGATGAAGATAACTGCTGCAAGGGGGTAGCTGCAGTGGTGGCGGCTGTTGGCTGGGCTTTAGTGACAGCGGTGGAGAAGGGGCAACGATGTGTCACGGACAAACTTCTAAACAAGATGTTTGATGTAATACTTTTGTATGTCCGTGTCTTTTGGTATGTTCATACTCTGACTAGCATGTAGAGGGACAGCCGAAGGCTTAATAGTCCCATTTTATTCGGTCTGTAATGGACCATTTTACCTTTTGTTGTGCAACTATTCAGAGCTTGTAAAGTCTGTTTGTAATTTGCATTGTCTATGAAGTGTTTTCGGAAATGTTTGCTTGTGGATTCCGAATGAGGTATTTTCTCTAACCCGTTCTCTCTTTTGTAGGTCCTAAGGGACATGGGAGGCTTCGGGGAGGCTGACCTTTGCGGACGGACACGCAAGGGTACTGCACGACTTAGGCAAAACCAGCTAAGTCCGTGACAGATGGTATCAGAGTGGGACAAGCACTCATAGAAACACTTAGCATGCAAATATGGGGGACCTAGCAGGGCTGTGTTGACGGCAGTCAGCACACGCGCGACCGTTTGGGGGAAAACGGGCATGTAGATGTAGGGAAAAGGAGTTGCTCGGAGGAGCGGACATTTGAGATTGGCATTTAGAGGAATGGCCAACCCTTCGTGCAAGAGGCACCACGAGAACAGGCAAGCCTGGAAGAATGCGGAGCGCACAAAGGTTGGGATGGTTGAGTTTGAGCTACGACTCAACGTTGACAACTATACTTGATGGTGCTCAAGGCAAGCGAGGCGCTTTGTAAAGGATGAGACCATGCAAGGTGGAATGAGTTGCTCAGCGACCGTAAGAGTTATGCAAAGCTCACAGAGGTGAGGGGAATTGCTAACTCAAAGAATTCGGTACTCATAGATGGGCTTGTATGTGGACGATGGAATGTTCGCGGCCATCCCAAGGCGACCGAAACTCGGCGCCATAGAGCATTGAAACTTTCTCTTCGGCATGTGAAGGATACGTCCGTAGGAGGCTGAAGGGTGCAACTAGTTCAGCATATTGCTAGGCCTTGAGGGGTGCAGCGGGGGCTGTATTGACGTGGAGTTGCAATCTAGCAAGTGCGTTTGCAGGAGGTAGAACAATGCACAGTTTGTTCAACAGATCGGAGTAGTCCAAGGGGATGGTGGTCTCCGAAACGAAGAGAGATGTTTCTCCAATGTGATAGTTATCCAAGAGGGATAAGTCTCAGCTCTCTAGAGGGAGAATCATATAGGACGGATCTCACAAGTTGAGGAGGAGTACCTCAACAAACAACAACTCCACGGAACTCAATGGACTAAGCAAGCGGCGAGGAGTCGTCGCATGATCTCGCTCGAGAGAATGCATTGGTAGATGCATTGCGAGATCAAGTGGGGGAGCAACCCAAAGCAACTCAAATGAAGGCACACTTGGAGTTGATATGGAGATTGGACTCAAGGGAGGGTTGACCCGTGGAATGGTGGGCGCGAGGGCCACCATCGACTCAATGCAAAAACCGAGGAGCGGAGCAACTTGGGTGTAACTTGGCGAAGTACCCAAGCCGCATGGATGGAGCCAGCATAGAAGTTGGAACATGGAGCAGAGGCACAGTGCTTTCCTTAGATAGAGGTCAAGGATATGAACTCTTGCAGAGGCAAGAGTAGGATCATGTTGTTCCATGGGTCCTTCATTCTGACGGAGTGGACTCATCTTGCAAGAAGAAGGGAACTTCTGGGCACATGCACCTTATCTCGAAAAAGCATGTGATAGAGGAACTAAGGTGACTCAATTTGCGAAGGCGAAGTTGGGTTCGGAAGGCCTTAGCACGGGGCAAGAGGACGCAGAGGTGAGTACTCTTGAAGAATATGCCACAGTATTGCCATTCAAGATGCCATGAAGGAAGCGGTGCATAGCGAAGATTGTGCTGGTAGGGGCAGAGGCCCAGGATCCAAACAATGGTGCACTAATTGCAGCGAAGTCGGGGGACTTCGGGAGCTACTAGGCGACGGACTGTCCTAGAGCGGTGCTTCATCTAGGTGTGACCCAAGAGTGGGTGGATGAAGGTCGATTGCCAAAGGAGCGAACAAAATCGAAGGTGGAAGAGACCCTGCGATGTATTGGCAAAGGCCAAACATGGACGGACCGCAATTCGAGTTCATCCCACAAGGATCAAAATGCAATGGAGATGTCACCAGGAGGCGACATGGTGCAGCGAATCGTGGTGGAACAGTTCATGACAATGCGATACACATGAATGTGTCCCGTGAGGGACTAGATCATACGGAGGTATGATCGGGAGCTATTGGAAGCTCCACTTCGGTGAACAACACGATGGCAATAAGGGCTATGGATTCAAGGAGTGAAGGCCATGGTACCGCAGAGGCGGGTCTTCCGTGCGTGCAACGAATTTTGCATCGGATGAAAGCTTTGGTTATCAGCATATGGGGGCAGTGTTCCACCAAGGGAAAAGTTTATATGCAAGTACTAGTGAGTCCCATGGGAGGGACTTGATTATACAAAGGTATGATCGAAGCAGTTGGAGAGTTGGACTGCTCCAGAGCTCATATTCGCTTAAGGGTACCTGACTTGTCAGAGGACAAGGTCGAGTAAGCGAACATTGCTACCAAGGAAGCTAAGGAGAACAGAATCGATGCAAACCCTACAACGTGATGGCAGAGGCCATGCATGGGAGTTGCAGTCTGTCTTTCCATCGACCAAAGGGAGCTGCTTGGATAACACAGAGGTGTTGAAGCAGGGGGTCGAAAGGGGAGAGGAAGTGACGATGAGTCCAGAGGGACTTAGCTACCCAAAATCAAGCATCAGTTAGAATGGAGGTGAACTCAAAGGAGTGCCACAGAGACATATCTACTGATCGTGAAGAAAAGGGATGCAAATGCGAGGCGACGGATAGTAGGGCCATGGGCATGGCAGCGCCATGGTACCATAGAGGCGGGACTTCCGTGAAAGGCATTGATCCCTTGCTCTCATGGAGGGAGAGCGCTTGGTCGTAAAAGGGGCCGAGGAGGCGGAGCATGCAGAGGCAAATCTCCAAGTACCGAGACAAGGCTAAAGGGCAGAGGCCAAGGAACTTCATAAGACCGGTGTCAACGAGCTTCTCATCAAGATAGCCAAAAGTGAAGGACTTCGGGTCATGCAAGAGTACACGACCAAGGAACGAAGTAGGCAGTACGCGGTGCTGTACCTTTGCTACTCAGGGGAGTAGGCGGCAGGGTTGATGGAGAAGACGGTACAATCCCAGAGACGACCAAATCTATTAGAGAATTACTCCAAGTTGGGGTGAAAACTTCTTGCATTCTAGAAGTTTGATGGCAATGAGAAGGTGAATCATAGTAGCTAACTCAACGCAAGGAGTGCAAACACTTCAAGTGCTTCAGAAGTGTGAGCAAAGAGCAGGCGAAGGCCAGTAACCAGCTCGATGCATGGAGTACAACCTCGAGGAGGCGGGTGAAGTCAAGTAACCATTGCCTTCTCAATCCTTAAGAGAATGGGTGAAACCGAGTACCCCAATTCTCTTATTTATCCAGCAGAGGAGCTCTACACAAGTTTAAAGACTCTTCGAAGATAATGGAAGATAATAGTTGTCAAATCCTCACCAACGGTGATCAGGACTACTGAGAGTAGTTTGTCCGCTTCATTTCCCAATGAAATGCCAATCAAAAGCGGGAGTGATGCGAACTTACTTGGAAGCGACAACTAAGTGAAAGAAGAGTCAATGGGCAAATTTTATGGAGGAAGGACCCAAAACTTTAGAAGTTTGCGAGACGATGCTCGTTAAAAGCTCCAACAAGCATCCACCCAGTTCAAACAGCATGAGGCATTTGAGAGACTGGCGTAGTAAGGATGGTCTTTTTCTTTATTTGGAGGATCCGCAGGAATCAACAAGGATCAACATAACTCAGCCAACCCCACACCAGAGTCAGAGTCATTGGTGAGTTGAAGTAGCATGGCAGATCAAAGATTCGACTACTCAAAAACAGCAGCGGAGACCAGTTGGGAGCCAAGAGGCGCATTGTAGCTAGAGCAGAAGATTGAAGACTCAGAAAAGGCGAGGAGTTGCAGTGTCGACAAAGGCTTCAATGAGGACGTCGAAGGAATAAGTGGGGGAGAATGTCACGGACAAACTTCTAAACAAGATGTTTGATATAATGCTTATGTATATCCGTGTCTTTTGGTATGTTCATACTTTGACTAGTAGGTAGAGAGACAACCGAAGGCTTAATAGTCCCATTTTATTCGGTCTATAATGGACCATTTTACCTTTTGTTGTGCAACTATTCAGAACTTGTAAAGTCTGTTTGTAATTTGCATTGTCTATGAAGTGTTTTTGGAAATGTTTACTTGTGGATCCCGAATGAGGCATTTTCTCTAACCCGTTCTCTCTTTTGTGGGTCCTAAGGGACATAGGAGGCTTCGAGGAGGTTGACCTTTGTGGACGGACACGCAAGGGTAGCAAACAACTTAGGCAAAACCTGTTAGGATCAAGAGCACTAAGAGGGGGGGGGGTGAATTAGTGCAGCGGAAATCTTTCACTATTAAAATCGAAAGCTGCGTTCGTTTGATAAAAACGATTTCGATGTAAAAGCCGATTCTAAGATTACTTTAACTTAAGATTAAGAGTGATGACGTTAAAGTAAATCTACGAA